AGCGTCACTATGTCCCACGGTACCTTGGAGCTGGTGTGTCCCTGGGCAGCCCCCACGGCTGTGGGGCGGCAAGCAGCAGAGAGCCCAGCTCTGGCTGCGGCTGTGCTGGTGCGAAGGCAGCGCCTCGCCCTGAAGGAGTTAACTTCTCACCAGTACCTTTCCTAGACCTGAATTATTAATTTGCCTATAATCTGCCTTTGGGCACCCCGCGGCCCCTACAACACTCCCACATTAAAGAAACATGTGCTCCCTCACTGGCTGCGCTGCTTTGATGTCGAACATGCGTGAAACACTCTTCCAGGGAGGAATTTGTACAAAAACTCATCAGACGATTGAGATATTGCAGATAAGCATGTGTGGGGAGAGCGCCCATCCAATAATCCCGTTACAACACTGGCCCCTCCATCCAGCTTGCGCCCTGGGTAAATATTTGCCTGCTGCAGCTCGCTCCGCACGAGGATGTGGCACGCGCATGCCGGGCTCTCCTCGGAGGCTAGAGACTGACGTGTGCGTAATCCTGGACTCCAACCACTCATTGGCATAAAAACAAGCTGTTTAATTTGGCAAAAACCCCAAGCACTGGCTCTTGTGACGAGGGTTGTGCCCCTTCCCTCTTCCAGCTGACGTCGCAGGCTCAGCGGCTGCATCCGGGGTGCTGCCCGTGCGCAGGCAGGGAGAAGGGGGCCCCCCAGGCTGGGAGCCAAAATCCTCCATCAGGAGCGATCACCCGCTCGCTGCCCTCATGGCAGGGCCGGCTGGGGTCACAGGGTGGTGGGGCAGCAGCAAGGGTCACTGCTCCGTGCGGCACCAGGGAGCGGGGAGAAGGGTGGGCTGCGAGCGCAGCTCCGGCTGCAGCTTGATCCGTCGGAGACAAGCACAGAAACTCTTCCGAGTGCGCAGACTGGCATCGGGATGGTCCCACGGGACCACTCCGCCTTGACCTGACAGCAGGCCCCCTCCCCACACCACAGCCCCAAGCTCCATGCCAAGGGCGCTGTGCCATGCCGTGCCACGCTGTGCCGCACTGCGGGTGCACACAGCTGACGGCCACCACCGGCTCTCGCCGGGTGGCCCAGCGCTGCGGGGCTCAGCAGGACTGCGGATGGCATCAGTAGATGAAAGCTCAAGCTACACGGAGGTTTAAGCAAAACTGGGCCAAGCATGTGAGAAACCGAGGTGTGAGGGAGATAAAAAGCTCTCCCCGGCTGAGTGACATTGCAGCGGACGTCGAGGACACAGGGACACCCTGGCCAAGAGCTGCACAGCTGGCGCTTCGCAGTGAGAGACCCCTGCGAGGGGTGCACGGGGCAAACAGGAATCCCCCAGCGCCGCTGCCGCATCCCCTCCGCGGTCCCACTAAGCCCGGTGGCACCACAGTAACGGGGCCGGGGGGGGCTGGCCCCGGGAGCAGAGCTGGCCCC